CTAATTGTTCGTTTGTAGATACATGACTAATTAGCCTTTTAGCGTCCGCCACTGATCTCCTCCCCAACACACGGCGACAGGAGCACGGCAGGAACCTAAGAAACTCTAACAAAATGACACTGGCGCCTTGCCGCACTGCTCGATTTCAAAACAGCCCTGTACCATCTCTACTGAGTCTGCTTAACACGAACAAATAATACGTTGTAAATCAACCACACTCAGATGTTTTGTTATTGTAATATCTTATTCTAATCGACATTTTAATACTTTGTAATATTTTATGCTAATCATACGAATCATATTGAGTTGTGTCCTATGTAAGTGAAACGTACTTTCATGTAATATGTAAGTGAAACGTATTTCAGCCTGATGGCTGCAATGTTTTACCTAATAAACCAGTCATTCATTCATTATTCATTTTGTGGGTTTTATACTGTCATTGAGATCTTAATGATGTTTAGATCTTTTGAAAGGGCTACAATCTATAATGAAGTTTTGAATGGATTTTGTTTCATGATTCTGCATATTTTTACAATTCTGTAATTTATATCTATGAATAACACACTTAATGAAAGATTTTCTTGTATTTAAATTCTATCGAACCATTAAAAAGTTTAAAGTGTTAAAAAGCTTAAACCTTCTTATCGTTGAAGAGATTCATTTGTCACGTATAGATACAGTTCCTAGAGAGTTCTTTCATCAGTGACAACTTTGGAAGGATAAGGATACTAACCTCCAAATTTTCGATGGCTATCAGTCCATCTTGTTCACGGAGGCAGCGGGGGGTGGGACCCGACAGACCGATGCAAGTCTCGGGCCTAGTCTCGCGCTCTCGCGAGATTAGGCCACTCCGTGAACAAGATGGACTGATAGCCATAGAATTTACTAGGAACTTAAACCTTCTTGTTTTTCAGGATAACGGAGAGCGCCTGGACCTTGATGAGGTAACGCCCAACTACGAGGCGTTTTATCGGTTCATGGGCAGAGGCGAGCCGATAGACTATGAGAAGAAAAAGCCGGAGCCTCCTCCTGATCTGTCTGATTTCATTGACCTGTCTGACGAGTTGGACGTAAGAAAAGCCTCATTTTTCACTCGTTTTTTTTATATTCCAACATTTTATGACTAGACATGGTAACGGCACACTCAAGTTATATCAACTTATTTTATGCCGCCACCAACGCAGAAGACGAATACGGGACAAGAAAATACTCATTTTCACTTTAGTTATAAGTGAGGAAAGTCTGTTAGAAGAATAACTGTTTTTTTTCTTATATAGTTTTAAAATACCATCATGAAAGTTCATCTGTGTTGGTAGTTACATGTTCAAAGTTAAAACTTTTGGTCCAACACAAGCTTCACTGGGTCAGTCTACTGAGGAAGACCAGAGTGACTGGTCGAAAGCTCTAGGTGAGAGAATTTTTGTTGTTGGACCAAAAGTTTTAACTTTAAACATACTTTTAAAATGTTT